AGCTGGGTATTAAACTCAAGCATCCCGGAGGGAGCTTTCGCATGAGTAACTTGAAGAATGGGCTGCGTACTTCAGAGTTGTTCAGCATTCGGCCCTTGCAGTTCTCGCAGGCCTGGAAGTGCGAAATGCAGCAAAGCGTCCCAGTTCTTTGACCTCATGAAGCCCAAAGCCTCCGCATCCTCGAACCACGACGCGTGCCTGAACTCGAAAGCCACCTTGTTTGTCGAGGCGATCCCACGAACCCGCACTGAAGGCGTGGTATTGTAGGCCAGATTTGGGCATCCTCTTTGCTGAGATTGCCACAAACAGTACCTTCATATCACGCGGCCGTATTGCCGAGATGCCGAGTGACATCCTTCAGGCGCGCCTCCTCAGGCAAAGCTGCCAGGGCGGTGTCCACCTGCTGCAAGATCTTCACATCGGCCTCCCGCAGCTTTAGACGTGCCCTGGTCCCTGAAAGTCGCCGATAAACAGAAGTTCAAAACATATGTCACATTTGGCAGAAGGGGGTGTTTATCTTACGCCAGAGGGGCGACACAATCGGACTTCTCTCTTTGCTTGAAACTCGCCTTCAGGCTCCTCGGGCACTGGAACAAGACCGGGCCGAGATGTCTCCCAAGCCTCATAGTTCAAATCGCACGGAAAAAGGTACTCCCTGAGCCCTTTTTGTTCGAGCTCTGCATCCCAGAGACCCAGCCACGCGCTGGGCAAAGTACCGCAGAGACTCCAGAGCAGCGGGGGCTGCTGGCGATCCCGCATCGTGCGTTACAGTCTTCGGGACCTCGATTGGAACACTCAGTGAGCTTGCTGCCCGACCCAAGGCTGACAGAATGAAACCCGATGGCCTTTCTAAGCCTCTGCTTGAACAACTTAGAGCTGGCCATCGCAGTGGTCAAACTTCGGATTCATTTCCAAAGGCCTTGAGACCCATGAGGAAACCTTCCGCACATCTCCGGCGCCAGCACGTGATTGTGTCAGTCGATGGGACACCTGCAGTGCGCACCGGGACGAGTCGCCGAATTGGGCCCCAAGTTGAGAAGGGGCCAGTCATCCAAAGACGGGAAGGAACACAAAGCTTGACTGTGCCAAGACACCGTAGAAGCTTGAGTTGACCTCCACAGCCCAGAAAGTCTCCTGATAGCATTCCTCAGTGCCACTATCAGGCGTCCGTCGCGCACAGTTTACTTGCGGGAGCCTCGCTTGATACGTGCGGCCCTCCTGCAGTCTGACTGGCTTTGCAGACCCAGCTACAAGCTGGTCTTCACCTTTCTTTGCGTTGCCTGCAAGGCGGTCTCACGGTTAATCAATTTCCTGATGTTGGGTGTGGCGGTGGTCGTGGCAGTGGTTGTGCTGATGCTGACAGTGATGACTTCGATAAAAACGACGCTGAAGAATGACCCGAACGTGGGCAAAAAATAATCATCGTGATGACAGCAAGCAAGATGTGATGACAAGGCGGAAGTGCAGGACCAAAACACAGCGACAGCAGCACGAATCAGAACAGAATCCACGAGTTGTCGACTGGTCGGATCGGCCCCACTCTCTCAACAGTCCAAGCTGATTCTTAGATCCGCCTACAGTGGTTTGAGACACCCGCTCCAAGTTCTGCTGGCCCTGCCTGGATAGAAGCATCCAGCCCAATGAGCACTGGAAAAGCCGGCTGTCCCCACATAGAGACTACCCAGCGTCGGTGACGCCATGAAAGGAGAGCCAATGTTTGTGCTGCAAGTCAAGCGGGGATTTCTGAGGTTAAGTGCTGTGCCTGCTCTGCTTGTCAGATTCGAGCCTCAGGGCTGCAGAGGTTGCAGCCAGCTACCCAGAGACACGGTCAGAGCTGTGAGATTCCGAGAATCGAAGCTGAGACATGTGGAATGGATGGAGAAGGGGGCAACGGCCTGTCTCTCGTTGGCGGATGCGACTTCAGCCTGCCAAGACTTGCAAGACCATTTTTTCATCTGTTGAGGGTCTAAGTCCCAGGGAATTGGACGAACGCAAAAAGAAGCCTTCAAGGTTTCGGCTCCAGGCCCCCCGGCCGGCAAGGACAAGGGGAACTCGAAGCAACAGGGCGAGCTCAAACAGAATGGAGGATAACAGAATATCACGGTGGCACGGAGCCGACACAGACCTGGAGCAGCGGACACAAGACTTCAGGCCCCGCTAGGATTGTAACCTGAAGCGGCTTCGACTCCTCCTGGTCCTCAAATGCTCCGACCTAGGCTGCGGTAGGCTGCGGGTTCGAAGGCAGTTCAGTCAAGGTAGGTCGTGGATAGCTCAGATCACAGTCTGCAGGATGCATGAGTTTGGCTTGCCAGTGAGGACTGCCGAGAAAGACATGATACGGCTGCACGGTGAACAACCTGAGACTTGATCAGGCATGGCATCTTTAATCAAGAAAGCACCTGCGCACGCCTCACTCAGAGCCATGGAGTTGATGGCCAGAGGCGGTGGTCCGAGTGCTCGGAAGGAGAGCCAAGGTTTGGAGCCCACAGCCTTCCGCTGCCTTTCCGCATGCCTCCATGGACCCCCGATTGCCCAGCGACGGTTCTGAAATCTCGGGCTCCCGACTCCTGGCCCGGTGAGGAGCCCTTCCTCATGCCTCGGACTGGAGCTCAGAAATCTCAGGGCTTCTTACTCGCTTTCCAGGACACCGAGAGCTGAAGTCTGGGTGTCCGAGGCCCAGGCCCTTCTTCCGCGCCCTGATCTAAGGAGGCCTTGCGATGCCAGGTTGAATCAAATCTTCTTCGACCTATCAACAACTCATCTAGGTCATGCTCGGCGACAATCACGACAAGACCATGCATGCCTCGCTCGCCTCTGCTGCCGGCATGCGGAACGGACAGTCTCGGCGACTTTATTCAAGTGCTTCACATAAGACCTAACCTAACCTAACATCGGTGAGGCTCTTCGTGGAGAAGTGAGTGGCTGGGGTGTCCCCCATGTTCCATGTTCCGCAGCACCGACAACTACACTAATCTGGAAACTCTGCAAGTGGGTCCCTCTGCATGGTCAGGGCTGCGGCGAAGTTGGTTAGTCAGTTAGGTTCATTTCCATGTTGTCTTGAGCTGAGGGACATTTGTCGGTGGATGCATGGATGCAGGAGGCTGCCAGGTTTGGAGCCACATCGGCACGGCAGTTCGCACACTGTGCCAAAAGCACGGCCAGGACCCGTCAGAACCCCTAAAGGCCCTCAACCCTCTGCCGGTCCGTGAGCCGCGTCTGCCCCAAGTTCACGGACTGCCGGTAGACGTGAATGGGATGCTGCCGAGGCTGAAGGCTCCTGTGAATGCCGTGTATCGACAAGTGGTGGCCAAGTGGCTGACGGCTCAGGGGCACGTTTTTGGCAGAGCTTGCTGAAGACTGCGAACAGGCTTGCACTTGCTTTTGAAGTTGACGCTGCAACTTTCACTAAGCTGCCCAGCACAGAAGAACTGCGCCTGCACACGCCGCATTGCTCCGGATCTGCTTGCCGGTAAAAACCCCTGGTCAGCAGCCCACGCTCACCAGAAGCAGGCACTGTGACAGTGCAAAATGCCGACGGTATCAATTAAGGCCACTGCCATTCCTGTCCATAGATCTCAATGGTGGCATGGAAAGCACCGAAGGTCTTCACCTAAGAACCACACTTACGAGTAGAATGTGACATGCCCGTATGAACCAACATGTGGCCCCAGAAACTGGGAAAATGTATTCCTGTGGAACTTCGCTGGCCAGAAAGCTGTCTGTATCCCGTTCTGCATTGATTCTGCATCATAGTGTTAGCGACATCGTGTGCAGGTTCCATCGAGCACCGACATCCGCAAGAAGTCGGCTGTTGGGAGCAGGCTTCCTTTTTGGGAGAGGATGCATCTGCAGCATGTGCCGGAGAGCACGCTTGAACGTTTCGTGATTGCAGACACAGGCAGCATCTCTTGCAGCTCCTAAAACCTCCCTCTCAAGTGCAAGTAGCAGGAAGCTCTCTTAAGCGGCATGCTGGATCCCTACAGGGATGCCACCGAACTGCCGAAAAGCCGTCGTCGTGCGTTTCGAACGATGGCTCATACACATCCCAGCTGCATACCGAAGGGTTCAATCAAGATCTGCTCATCTGGTGATCCGTGCGATGGATGTACCCGTCGCAGCAGGTGCTTTCTTTAGGTGTGCAAAAGACATGTGCTTCTTTGGTTAGACGCCTGTGGGATGCAGCAATCTTTCGCACCTCGGCTGCCTGCCAGAACCTAGCACATTCTGAATTGCCGGTCGTTCACATCGTCACATGGCTGGCTTCATGTTTGAAACGACATTTTCACATTGCCCCCAGAATTTTGGACTCCAGCTGACAAGTTCGCAAGCCAACAAAAAACTCTCGGCAAACACAAAGCCACACATGCTGATGACATACATGTTTCAGTCCAGAACCATGGTGTTGCAAAGGAAGGAGTTCACGACAGACCTCAGACAACTGGTAGTTTGCTGCCAATGTCAGGCCGAGTATCAGCTACGCTACTGCATCCTGGCACTGCCCTGCGGCGGAGAAAGACCAACACCGGGAGGCCCACGTGACGGGAGCCAAGTCATACCTTATCACATCCGCAGTTGTAAACTCAAGTGACCCACCTCCGTCTCGGCACACGGCTCAATCTGAATGCTGTAGCGGCAGCTGAACAGACAGAGTGACACCTGGTAAGCCCTTGTCCCACAGGAGGTTGCAGTTGGGACTCAGGCACGTTCAGGAAAACGGTACAAGCAGGTGCAGACTCCACCTGGCAGCGGGCAGAAACAACTACCAGAATGTTTTGTTGGGGAAGAACACCGCAGCATCTTTCCGACTGCCCTGTGCAGACTCTTACAGAGAGAGATGCAAAGAGGTGCAGACGCTGAGAGACAGAGAGAGAGAGAGCAGGCCTCGGATGCGAAAGACAGCCAGGTGGCGAGTGTAGAGGCTTCGATGGGCCCCTGCAACTTCGCACAGCGTCGCTGCCTGGCCTTGCCTCCCAGATTCGATGGGCCCCTTCGCCTGCACTGACTGCGTCTGCTGCATCTGATCTGTCGGCACGTCTTTGGCCCCATGGCCCAGGCTGGCTCCTGCATAGGATTCTGGTTTGTGGAGGAGCTTCACTACACGGGCCACCTGACGCATCTCAATCTGATGCCTGGAAGCATCCCAGGACACAGCAGGCGGGGCTGCCGAAATGTGAGCTGCAGCTGGACCTGCCGCGGACGCACCGTCGGATATAAAGTCTCGAAAGGGCAGCTGATGAATGCGTCTCTACATTGCTCTTGATCTCCTCTTCTTGAAAGGAGCCAAGGCGGCAGAGTGCCCGATGGCTCCGACGAAGTGCCGCTGCCCCAGCTCCAGCCAGCTCTCCTGCTTCAGTGTCGACCTATATGAGAAAAGTATACTAGACTCTGCTAGAACACAACATAGTGCAACACTCATAAAACATGCTAGCTAAGTAGACAAGATAACCATATATTATATCAAGTTGAGGCTGATCACTGGCTGATCACCAGAACGAACGAGATTTCTCAACTTTTCCTCAGAGAGCTGCGTGTACCATGGCTACTGAAGGCCTGTCACGTCGGAATCCTAAGCAGGGAACTGCGCACACCCTGTTTGTGTAATCTTGCAAATGGGCCTTACGGCTTACCGGCCTCGTTCACCGGGTCCCAGTCCAGGCAGTGGAGCTGCAGCCTCGCAAGGTCTATGTGAACCATGGCTGCACATCCCTAACCCCCCAACCCCTCCCCCCCCCAATCCCTCATGCGACGGTATTCCTCTACCCTCCTGTACGTGAAGTTCTGGCCGCGATCCTCACAAAAGCCATCATCGCCCTACATCGCGGTTTCAAGACTGCAGTAACTGGCACAGAGATCGGATGTGTCGATCCTCGTGACAATTGCTGTTGAATCCTTGCATTCGTGCAATCGAGGTCAGTGAAACATGTCAACACACACAGGGATTGGCATCGGGTGGCAGATGGGGTTCGAGGGCACCTGGTGCAAGGTTTCGGAGGCTTTTCAGTGCTGTCGGACTAGTGGCATGCGAGACTAGGCCAGCAGCCAGTCACTGTTGTTTGAGTTGTCCACCTGGCCACCAGAGAGCGCATGACAACGTACCGGCAGGAGCAAATCTGCAATCCAGCCAAGAACAACAGGGATTCTTGAAAGGAACGCTCAGGCATCCGTGGGCTCTGGCTGTGCCTTGGGCCCAACCGAACAGCGGAGGATGCAACCACTTTCCGCCTGCAGCGTTGCCACATCCAGTGTTGCCAAGACTGGCGCAGCACTCAAAGTTCAACCGGGTCAGCAGGGATGCAGCAGGAAGCCTCTCGAATGACCAAGCCGTCAATGGAGGTCAGGAACCAGGGCACCACCAGGCCTCAGTGCGGAAGGAGGAATGGGAAGACACAGTGGCGCAAGCTAGATTTTGAAGCAATGCGGGACCCGACTCCTGAGCACGCTTTTGAAGCCCCACAAAGGCCACGGCCATCTGCTTCTGCGTCGAAGCCGGGGGGAACCTCCATGCAAGCATGAAGTTGCTTGGGGGCCGGTTTTCCTCACACATCCTCCACTCGCATGTCTAAGGTTTCCACAACCCAGTGTCCTTCTCGTCCACAGGAAGCCGAGACACGAACAGAAGCAAAGGCCTCGAAGTACTCCTCTTTGACGGGAAGCCCACCGATTGTCGGCGAACTGTGGAAAATGTCCTCGGCCTGTCGCATGGCAAAATCAAAAATCCACCTGCTTCTGCTCGCAACCAGAAACAGCTGCCCGGCCTGAATTTCAAAGGTGCATGGGCTTGCATTCCTGCAAGTCAAACCCTTGCGAAATCGTCTGCCCACAGTTCATGTTGAGTGTTGATGAGCGCTGCATTGCATCCCTGCCTCAAGCGCACGACTTCGCAGACCACCTTGGCCGACAGCACATAACTTGCGATGATGAAAGCAGTAGGAGCCGATCTTTGGCAAGAGAAGAAACGATTCTTCGAAGCACCCTGGGCGGAATGCCATCTTGTGGGCGGCCGCTTCAACGCTTCATGGTGGCCGCCGCTTGCAAGGTCTGGACGGACGAAGCTCTGTGCATCCACATGAATCGTGAATGGTCTAGGGACTTGCTTTGCAAAAGCCGGGCTGTGCAGCTTCTGCAAGGTGGGTAGCAGAACGTATGATGCTTGCCGGGCATGCTGCTGCCAACGGAGGAAGAAACTCGCTCATGCAAACTTGAAACCGGTCTTGAGTCTCCGCACTGTGGCATGAAGTCGATCAGAACTCCAGATCTTACGCACCATCCCTTCCGTCAACCAGAGATTAGCCTTCTGGAGCGTTTGCTGCTTGCCGAAACCGCGAATGTGTGCGGACAGGAGATGCAGTCGGCTTCTCTTTTTGTTTGCCGCAGGGTTAGGTGACAGCCGGGCGAAGCGGTGCCGGGAAGTCCACATGGGCTCGCGGCGGGCTGCGGGTCTTCGCGCATCTTGAGCAGTTATGGCACCATCATGAAGTGTCGCGGGTGCTTTGCATGCCTTGAAATCTTCGGTGGGGAAGCCTTGAGGCTTAGGAATTGGACTTAAAGCATCACGATGCATCACGGGCTAGCCTCTTGGCCAGCCCTCGAATATGCACTTGTGGCACGATGTCATGAGCTCACAGCCGGATCTGTCAGCAAGCGAAGGCATAGCCTGAGATCTGCATCCAAAGTGTCATGAACTCCGGAACTACAAGCATGAAGGCTTCAGTGCAGACAGGACGCATGGTCCCTTCTTGCCCAAGCTTCTCGGCGGACCCCTGGCCAAGTTTAAGTCTAAGCGACTCCGGTGGATGCACGGCTCTTTGGAGCACCTTAGCCGTAGGAGCTGCGCTGCCCCACCGAGGCGTGGATCGAAGACGGGCCGCTTGAACTCGCTAACCTGCGCAACAAAGCCTAGACCAGGCCCTGTCTTCAAAGGAACCATCAAGGCAGACCAAAATCCCCCACAAAAAGGCTCCACACCTGCCACACCCCGTATTCTGACAATGAAATCCCCACCACAGTTCACGGGCTGCGGCTTGAGAGCCCATCCACCAATCGCTCCGCGCTGGGAATCTCGAATGATGCGAACTCTAAGCACACCATCCTCAGCTTCGCAAAGCGCAGCTCTTCCTTCAGCTTCTTCAGACCTTCGGTTTTCAGCCTTTCTGAAATTTTCAGAGGCAGTTGCATAGTCGTGCCGCCAGGTCTCCACCACCGTGCGTTCTGAAGCTTCCAGAACAGTGCCCGGATTCCTGAGACGTGCATCGGGTCTTCTAGCTGCCGCAGCATGGACCCAATCTGGTTCAAACAGTTTCCGGTCAGCCAAGACTCAAGAAGCAGAGCACTGCCGACGTCGGCGATGGCTGCACGGAAACAGGCGCCTTGCTCAGCACCCCGTAGAAGAAGGAGCCTCACTGCTGTTATGCACCGAGTTCTCTAGTCCGAAGCGTCTCAGATTGTACTCCAAGGATCTCTTCAATGATTTACTGGTTTGCGCATCCCCTTCGTAATCTGACGCTCTCTACGGCAACTAGATGATGCTCATTTCTAGCTGCTGAGGTCAAGGCCCTCTTGATCCATGCAAGGCCTCACACACACACAACTGACTTTCGTGCTGAGGCTTGGAAACAGGACCCTCGGATCAGCCTCACGGCTTCCTCCGGCAGGACCAGGCCGCCTTCAGCACTTCCAGGTTCAGGTTTGAATGCGACGAAAACGACATGAATCGAGAAGCCTGAAGATTCATGGAGCCGCAGCCATTGCCCGCCTTCCTGGCAAGAATAGACTGTCGCGCTACTTCATGGACTATTGCAAATCATTGCAGCATGCCAGGGTGCGACCCCAAGGATTTTTTCACCCTTCCACCAGCATTGGCGGAGTCCTCCTTTCACATCCTGCGGATACGCAGATGGACGAGGTTGATGGAATCATGGTAGTGGTCGGGTTCGTGCTTGCAGCCGTCTACGGCAACCAGCGAGCCGTTGAGCACGTCAGAACAAGCCGACACAACAAAAGCAACGCCATCGTGTTGCAAGCAAATAGGCCTCAAAGGTCTCCTCAGTCTCCTCTCATTGTGGCCGTGCACCCACAGCTCGCAGCCGCACTATGTAGGATCTAAAGTCTAACCACCATGCCCCAACACCCGCGTTAGCCCGTTTGCGGTGGAAGGAAGCCGTTCGAGAGAGCTTCGTTGACGATGAAGGGCACTTCTATCCAGCTCGGGTGTCATGTGGCAAAATGCCAAGGTTGGGCATGTGCACTGCCCCACACCCGACCAACACAGCGATCCAGCATGGCCAACTGCTCTGCTGGGTTGAATAAGGCTCTGCAGTTCACACCGCATGCTACACCACAAACCAGGACGAACCAACACAACCAAGCAATCCGCAAGGTCAACACAAAAATGCTCCGGCAGAGAAGGCACAGCCAGAGCGGAACAAATCCATCTGGCGGCAAGGCTTTGAAGCCATGCTGCAGATCGCAAATACACATACATGTCCCCGGCCGGAGAAAACCGACCTTCACACCACGTTGACCACCGGTATCTGAGGCACCTTACCCATCACGGCAGCTGCCACCCACCAGGTGCCCAGAATTCGTTCGAAGGGCCGCTTCAACCTCGCACCGGGCTTCAAAGGATGTTGAAAGCGTATCTTCCAATGGCCTTCAAGCTGTTTCCCCACGACCTCTCCGGTATCACCTGCATATTGGCCTTGAGTCAGCTTTACCTCCGCATCTTCGGAAAGATCAAGTCGGCAGAGTTGGTCCGGCCGGAGGGATTCATGATTCTCTAGCCGAGCTCCAGTAGGGCTGTAGGGTACCAGATAGATGTCGTTCTCTTTATCCACTGTCCGTTCTTCCAGCAGCGACAGGTTGTCAACGAAGGCCTCGACAGGGTATGTGGCCCGGGAAGTCTCTCCAGATGGTCCGGAAGCCGGAACAATATCACCAAGCTCGAACTCCTGCACGATGAGCTCTGCCAAAGAGTCGAGCTTAGCCCAGAAACGTATGGATGCCAAGTGATCGTACCTGGAGATGAAAATGGACACCCAACATGAATCATCTACAAAAGCTTCGAGTCAGACATGAGTCAAGCCACTGCGTTCGCTGCAGGCTGCAGATGGCCAGGCCACCTCCTGCGCCTGATGAGCCATCGGCCACACCTGAGCGAAGTCAAAACATGTGGGCTGCACGCTTATTCCGTTGCACACACGCAAACCCGCACGCACGCACACCCTCACCACGTCACATTGCATAAAGGCACGACAGTGGCAGAACACAAAACCGCACGAGAGAAAAAGTTGCCAATTCGACCGCTCGACTCTTCTGATGCCGCTCTGCAGCACCCTGGGCCAGCCGGTCTGCATTCATCCCCGCTAAGGATGTACCGAAAGCCAAGACTGTGTCGGCTTTGCTCTGCAACTCCAACCTGAGCAAAGAGTGGCAGGAGGAAGGCAAGAACATGGCAAGGGCGAACTCCTTATACAGTCAGTCCCTGGCTGCAGGCTGACACTGCAGACAGCAGACGGTGCTCGTGCACTGTCTGGCCATATAGCCCAGCAACAAGTCTTGGAACAGGTCCCCGCGGAGCTCACCGGTCATTGGGATGACAGGATTGCTTGGATCATACCTTCCAGCAGAACAGGAAAAGAGCAATGGGTCGACAGACACCTGCGGCTCAGCCCACTTGCAAGTTGGTCCCGTGCCGTCGCCGGCCAATCCCCGAGAGCATCCATATGTTACCGACCTCTCAAAGGCCCTGGGCCCTAGCGGCGCTAGCATCCTCAACTGCCGGGATGCCAGGAACCATGGATCTCGTTCAAGAGCCACTGTGGGAAGCCAGCTTTCTGCGGCAAGCCATCATGGTTCTGCTGGACCCAGCAGCTCAGTAGCTCATGCCTCCTTTGCCAAACGCGAATTTTCACATCTACTCACCAAAACCGGAAGCTTTTGACATCATGGACCAAGACAAGTGTGGGGTTGTCGGGTCTCCAGAGTGCAACGAGAACTCGGTGCATCATGGTCGGCTGCGCCTCGCAGGGACGGACATCAACAAGATTTGCAATGAAAGGACTTCACCAAATGGAGGACACAACAACCCAGAAGAGTCGCCTCGTAGGGCGACCGCAGCTTCGGCGGGGCGCCCTCCGTGCTGCTGCCCGGGGTCACCTTCACCATGAGCCATCCGGATGTCCGAATTCACGCTCCACCCAAGACCCTCACGTTTTCCATACAATGCTCATCAACATGACCTTTGGGACCTGAGGCCTCGACGGTTCCAGGCGTTCGGACGGCCACGTCGGAGTCTTCGGCAGTGGCGTAGTCCAAAACCCCCGCTGCCGTGGAGATGCCAGCACCTTTGCACTGATGCTACAAAATGCAACACAGTAGGGTCTGTTGAATTTCTTGCCCCATTCGTCGAGGCACCAGTGTAGGCCACAACGGCGCTGGAAGTCTTCAGAAGTTGCAGCAGCACCCGCACTTTGGTACGCAAAGTTTCCACATCATCCTCGAACTCGTCCTGCGTGGAGGAATGATGCTATGCAATCTGGAACAAATCGTATGGAGTGCAGCTCCAGCAGTCTCAGTTCCGCATTAATTTTCATTGCCACTGAGGAAACGGCTCCCAAAGATGTCAGTGCTATGCCGATTCGTGCTTTGCCTTCGACATGGACGCGTAGCCCGGTCGCGCCAACTCCGTAGACGCATGGATTCGTCTTGGTGGCTTCAGGCCTGCACACCATGTCAACATTCGGAATCTCAGTTGGTCCCTTACAGCCATGCTCCTTGACACTGGTCAAGATTTTTTGGACGCAAAGGCTCATAGCCGCTTCACGAAATCGCTGTTTCATACAAGAACTGCATTGCAGCGACAGGGCCCTAGCTGCAAACTCGCTTCCTGCCGCTGCCAACTCCGGAAGATACCCGTGGCCAGGGAGGCTGCCGGCCGTGGACATGGCTTGGGAAGCTGAAGCTGAAGTGGTCGGACTTAAAGAACCCGTTCTGCTGCACCCCAGCAGTGGAGAACCAAGTTGTTGAATCAGCATACGAAACAAGTCCGTACAACTTTGTCCTGCTCCTAGGGAGTAGGCCCGGCCCTGCAAGTTTGGCAATTGCGTGAGTTTGAAGCAGCTCGATACATCAAGCCTGAGCCTCAGAGCACGAATCGTCGAGTCAACGATTACGACAACGAGGCATTTCACTGTTCGCACACCCAGCACCACAAGTTTCGTATGCGGCAACTCCACATTGCTGACAAACATGCCAACGGCGGACCGTGAAAGACTCGATGATTTCGACCGTCTGATCAATCAGCTCCTGTGCGAAGGCATTGAGAAGACACAAGCTGGCATGTTGACTGCGACTCCCCCACCTGCACTGAACACTCTGCAGCCGACGGGCCGGATTCTTGAGCAGCGCCAGGGGTGCCGGCCGCGTCGGGGAAGGGCCGAGGATCTTGCCGAACTCGGGGGCGAAGCGGCTTGGCCCTGGAAGAAGAACCGCGATGTCAGCAGCCCATACCACAAGCATCTCAATCTATTTTGCGGATTTTACGGTAGAGAGCGCTGCCTCAGTCACTTTCACTTCTAGTACCCTTGGCCACATGATGTTCTCCTTCCACATCAGACTGGATCTTGAAGAACAGCTGTCTGCAAACGTCTGATTCACTGATGCGCCATGACCGTGGACGCTTCTATGTGTGCCAGTTGGCCTCCAGGTGACCGGCTCCGACCTGGTCGGTACAAGGCATGATCAAACGAAACATGAATGTCTCCATGCAAGAAAAAACCACGAGGCTGCGCCGTGGGACATGTCACGGGCTGGTCGAGTGTGGTCTCTTCGGGGTGATTGCAACTCCAAACTTCACAGTGTGCGCCCGCTTCTTCCGAGCATCTCCTTGTCCGCTAGTCTCTGACCGTCTCTGAGCCCTCTGGGCATGCTGAAAGCTTCGGAGCACTCAGCTGCCAAGCTGTACAAGGAGGGTGTAGTTTGTTCAAAACTGCACCAAATTTCAGGAATCTGCCCCACAGGCAAAGCACCAGCATTGAAGAATTCTTTGGGGAGGTAGCCAGAGGTTCATCACGGAAACACAACAATGCTGACGCAAAGCTCTGGAACAGGTCAGCTGCCATGCTTTCCGTAGGCGGTCATAAGGATCACACCCATCAGCTGCAATCCAAAAGAGCACCAATACCTTGGTTCGAGGAACTGCAAGGCGGGCGGATGCAACTCTGAAACTCGAGGGAGCGGTTCCGGATGGACATGTTGGAATCCAACACAAGAACCCGATTTGGCCAGGGTGCAGAATCAGCTGTCTGCGCCTGGTGATCTCTTTGAACCTGGGTGGGACAATGTGCGGCTCGAGCGAGGACGTGCTCATCATAGGCTTTCAAAACCACTTGCCAGCCGGGCCAATCTAACGTAATCAACATACTGGCATACTACTGTAGCATGCAGCTTGCCCGTAGTCTGTTGGGGGTGCACTTGCAGCGCTTCGGGCTTTCCAACCTAGACTCATCTCACGTCAGAGAGCACGAAGATTGAGAGCATGCTTGCCACCACAATGGGCCCCACAGCGTCCAACGTATAGCCAATTGAAAAGCCTCGGCTACTCAACTCAGAGGCGATGGTCAAGAAAAACGGAGCTGAACTCAAGAATATTCTGCAGTGTTGCAATGGGTCCGTTTGAGCACACACAGACACACACACAAGCCGGGATTGTGCGCCAGGCAGGTCTACCCCACTACACCATGCATGGCAAGAGCTTTACGCGACGGTGGCCGGTGGTCGCTGGTAATATATCAACAGCCAACATTTTTTCAGTATGTTTGTCTGATACACAAGAGCAGGAAGTGGAATCTCGGGCCAGTAGTCCCATCTTGAATTGAGGGTGACGAGCACCCGACCGTTTCTGGAAGCAACGAGAATGGGGAGGGTAGAGTACCGGGTAGAGTTTAGATGCTCCAAAACATCGGCGGCACCAAGCTTGGCCGTCTGTAACAAGCGCTGAGAGCCGCGGCCACGACAAAAAGATCCAATGCAAATCCAGCAGCCCAGGGCTGAGATTCCCACCTTGGTTTGGGAGTCTTTAGCTTCTTCAAGACCTGGATTCGTCTTTCGGGGTGCGGTCTGTCACACTCGCTTTGAACTTTGTAGACCGAAAAAGTGTCTTGTGAAGGGCTTGCACGATTTGATGTACCCGATTCGACTGCGTGCGCAAGCCCGCGACGCGAAACCTGAAGCCTGAAACTGCATCAGAATCTTTGAAATCTGCCACTACGGCCCATACGACGGAGGTGGTGATTCGAGACAACCGAGCCGCACCGGACAACACAGCATAGACACAGACACTGTCCCTAAATCCCGGGAAGTAGTCACTCAGAACTGCCAAGGGGGGAGAAGCAGAGGACATTGCTCAGACTGTGCTGTAAAAATCAAAGGCACGGCGTTCAAAAGTTCTACCCCGAGCCGTGAATCGTTGCCGTCCAGCTGCGATCATGAAGGAAAAACCGATGGACCAGATGCATCCGCTGAAGTAGGGGGGTCGGATGGCCTCAGATCTTGGACGAGCACCCATGTAAAAGGCATCCGCAGGCAGCCTTGCAGCCTTGCTGCCGAGTGTGGGATCGACCACCCAGATGCACGTGCCACAGCCGCATAGAACAAGTAAATGAAGCTGGAGCAGATGTAAATCCTCGGTAGCTGCACCCAGGGAACAGCTAGCCTTCCCGAATCTCATAAAAGCTGAGTCTCCCGAGACATTGTGGAAAGACAACCACAGTGGGGCTTGCACCTGGATGGCGTTGATTGTAGATTGCTGCCGGTACCTCAGATTCAGATGAAAGACACGGATAGCCACCCTGCCACTGTTCAACAAAACCTTATGCACATGAGCCTGAAGAAGGATGGAGACAGGATCTGCCATACAACATCTTCATACCTCTTTTGCCTACGTCTTCGATCGTCTTCGCCTCCATCTCTCGAATACTTTTCGCGACGGCATCTGAAAGTCCTTAATGGCTTATAACTTGTACATCCCGATCTGAAAATCCAAGCAGCGCTTTGCACTCCAGCCAATCCCCCAGCAAAGAGGGCCAGGGACACCCCAAGCAGTTTGACCGCTCGAGGGCTGGAGGAGGTGATTGCGCCTATCAAGAACTTACGAATACCGTCTGCACTGCGAAGCTCACAAAGGCCAACGCTGGAAACCGTGGTGTCCCTGCTCGGCCGCTGCCTCGTTGCATGGCTTCCGTAGGGACGGTGTCGTCGCTGCTACTTGAGGCTGCCTCAGCATGACAAGCCACCCACTATCTGCATCTATCTCAGAAAATTCGGCGATGCTCTCAATCGGCTCACCCCAATTCCAAACCCTAAAGCCTCGTCTTGGTTCCGGACCATTGTTGGCTCGCTGGAATTCCGCGGCATGGGGGCCTCGTGCCTTGAGAGGATGCAACCACGTCGGGTTTTGGCTAGTCAAGGCTACTACAAGGTTGCTGTAGGGGTCACTACTTGCTTGCCAGTACCGTCATGTGCTTCGAGAGAACAGCGAGCATGACCGCACGCAAGACAGGGCAAGGATTCATCTGCCATGTTATTAAAGCCAAGCGCTATGAGGCGGCAAGTTTACACTCTTCGCTACGGCACCTTTAAGCCGATCCCGTGTAGAAAGAAATCATATGTCAGAGTTCCACCCGCCTTGAACCACTGCCTAAGGTTTATGGGGTTTAAGAGTTTAGGGTCAGGGCCCGACCCGTAGCCAAAGCCTTACACTCCCAAGTCGTGGCCTCTCCAGGAAAGCAGCAGCATGTGCAGTTCCCTCCGCTCGTGGCTTCGGAGGTACCGGACCCAGCGCGAAACCTCCCACAGCCTTCAGGTTGCCTCGGAAACAGAAGTCAGGGATCGAGGTCTCATGTGATATATACATGTACACGCACACTAACCTTACACTAATATCATACTCGTTGCTTGTTGTACTGTTATGTACTATATAGAGATATATACATATGGCATATATGTATTTGGGATCTGCTAGCCCAGATGCCGCCAGACTCCATGGCGGAGTACCCGAACATGGTGGAGCGCAGGGCGTTCAACACGGGCCTTTGCACGGGCAGCCGCTGACAACGCACAGTGAAGTAGACGAGAAGGGCACATTCATGTAGCGAAGCTTGTCGCTGTGCCAACACCGATGGTGCCAAGCGTCCGCAGATTCATGCAATCAGCGCAAATTCTGACACAGCAACAATAAAATCAGGCTGGTGACGCATCTTTCGAGCCTCGCGATTCGCCTTCACAGGCACAGGTGGCTGTCAATGCAAAAAGGTCCCCAATCCTTCTCGAAGCAGTGCCTTGTCGCCACCGGTGGTACATCTCCTCGGACCCACATGCTACCACCTGTAGCTACGGCAGCTGGTAGGATGTGGCCAAATCTTGTCCGAGGCTCGCGGTAGTTCGGGTCGATCTGAAACAAGGGCGGTGGCAGCTCGATTGGCGTGCTGGGTTGAGATTCATTGCCCTGCTCACCTGCACAGATGTGAACAAAGCGCGCTTCGGATGTTAACTCAGCGCGGTTTTATCTAGAAAACGTTCGGACTCAGCGGCAGCCGTGGGCAGATGCTCAGTGTTCGGAAACTGAGTACATTCACAGGTGATCCTGCAGCTTGAGCAGCTTGCACTGCAAACCGGCAACGGCATGTACGCCTTCGACGAAGACCATAATGATGAACGATGCCAGGATAAGAGCGCAACCTGCATCCTTGGAAGAGCAAGGACTTCACTTTCCTTCCTCTTATCACCGCTTAACAGCCTAAAACTATGCTAGCAGAAAGTCATGCCTCACCGCTGAGCAACGCAGACGTGCAGAGAGCCTTCCAGCGGAGCCATGCCGAAGAGGCCCAAGCGGCCAACAACGTAGCCCACCATCAAGTTCACCTCTGAGATCTGCTGGCAGCATGGAAGCTTCTAGCAGGGTCCGTGAGCAGAAGAGAAAAGAATCAAGAAAGCTGCTGAAGTCAAGCAAAGCAACGAAGTGGTACAGCGAGAAGCCTAGGCCGATCCCCAGAAGCTTCACCAGGGGGAGCACCAGGTAGTTTGACAAGGCCTTTGCTGAGATGCGAAGAGCCGAAGGCTTAAAGCGCATGAAACATGCGAGTTGGCTCCCCTCAGCTTTCAAAAATTAGGATGCGTCCAATTCAAGAGTCAAGAGAAGTGCCAGTCCTCGCTCTTTTTTGGGTCATGCTTTGCCAGCCCCCACTTTTCCGGCTCTCCCTGTTGACTGCCTAATTCCGGGCCAGCTTCTTGACAACCCCGAACTCAGCAACAAGCAAATGTTTGCCTGTGCGTTTTGAGACAAGCGAAACATTGGCCGATGATGAGGATGATGATGATGATGACCAAAAAGGCGGTGATGGTGATGTCGAAAACGCGCATGCCGGTGATGACGACGGCGATGATGAATACACACGGCGGTTTTGATGTGGTTGTGCGACGTCGGCGAGTCACAAACGATCGACTTCGAGCGTCACAATTAGTCATCAGATATTGTGGAGCAGGTTTGTAGAAAGTCGCAAGAGCTCAGTGCCACACCCACAGCGCACCGCCGGCGATGATCAAGAGGCACTCGTTGTCCTGTCCAGAACCCCGAATACGCAAGTGAGGCGGTCTCTGGAGATTTTCTGCACACGGTCCTTCATCCCGAAGTCTCCAAAGATAATAGACGACACAAAGCCGACCATCAGAATTCCAGCGCACATGAACCACTGAAACGTGATACCATCGTAAATCTCGTACTTCTTGACCTGGGCCAAGAACAGACAGACATCTCGATTCTTGGTTTCTGGGGTGTGCAACAAAAGGTCGTGCGAGAGAAAGCGGTGCTATGCAAGTTCAAGCGACTGGCGCGTATTGCACACCAAAAGCAACAGCAGCACACAGCGCGCAAAATAGACCCTGCCAACGCTCCATGGCTGGGGCAAAGCTGCAGCGCAACGGTTATTGTTGCTGTATGTTAGATTTCGTGCGTCGTGTGATGCACTAAGCCCTCGTTTCATGAACAGCTGATGGTTGCCGTGGATTGCTTTTCTAAGCATATAAGAGGGTACCAGGCCTCACAATAATTCCAACAACTAGGCTCCGCAGCAGCATTTCTCCAAGTTCTTGCACAGTCAAGTGGACCCTGGAAATTATTTCTCCTACTTGGCACAAGCATCGCTGCTACGGCCGCAGGAGGCAGAAAGCGAATGCATTGTATGCCAGCAGGATACCCCAAGCCGTGCCTAGCTAGGCGAGCAGATCTTCGAGTGTGACTTGCAGGAAGATTCTCGTCAAGTTTATGCACGAGAGACTTGCAAGTGTATCCAAAAGCTTCTCGGCCAATTCCTTCACCAACAGCATGCCTCCTTTGGCTGCCTTCTCTCCGAGCAGAAGCCGGCGCGCTGCCATTGTGATCTTGGCAAGGACTGTTAGAACTTCAGTCCCACGTCGAGCTCGCAGAAACTACAGCTAGGCCACGGAGCCGCAACTGTACGCTCCATCTTGCCTTGATGGTGCACATCCACCCTGCCCGACAAGTGCAGACCCGCCCAGCCTCCCGGTAACGCACCATCGGATCTGCACCAGGCGGACAGAGGCTCCGCCTCGGCCAGTATAGTAGCCACTTCCCTTTACTTTTGCACAAGCATGCATGAAGATTGTTCAAAAGAGCACCATCACCGCCACCCTTTGAAAACGACAGGACAGTCGTGCCGCGTTGATACCCACCTTCGCTCCTGTATTTCGCATGCATGATATAAACAGCCTTCATCAACCGCGGCCTCAAGGGAATCCGAGAACCAGAATGCCTTCTGCCCTCCAACCCGAAAGACTTGGAAAATCGTCGGAGACCTGCAACTACACAGCAGATATTCTACAACTACATAATATCTCATGTACTGGATACTTAATATTTTAAGCTTGTATATATCTATATATCTCTATATATATATATATATGTTCTCTATATATAATATATATATATATACACACATTTACTTTCTACCTTCACCTGCAGGGACCCCTGCCTCGGGCGCCGCGCGAAGTCCAAGGCCAGAAGTGCACGGCAGAGCGACCACCCCAAACGATACCAGGCTTGGGGCCCGAAGGGCTCGGCACTGTGGTGGCCTCCAAAAGCCAAGCTTATCATCCTACAATCTAAGGCCCAAAACCCAAATCCGAAGTAGTAAGTGTCTCCTTTCTTGCTGGAGCTGTGGATTTGTGAAGTTTGCGGGTTTGAAATCTGAAGCCAAGCACTCGGAGTCAGAGGTTTGGACAAGGAATGCCCGCATGAACTGTGAGCCCCGCTAGTAGACCCTAGGCGAGCTGGGCCTCGAATGTAGTGGCATTCTACGGTGTAGCAAAGGGGATTTCCGGTCCTGAGCTGCGAGTAACCCACAGCATGCTCCGATGGTGCACCGAATGCTCCACTCTCGAACGGTGATAGAAATACCGAAAGTCATGTTTGCAGGAGCATGTAGAGATAACGACAGTAAGCTAACAGCAATAATAACGCCAGACCGAGGGTCAGCTTTGCAATCGTGGACTTTCCAGTTCCTCGCTTGGACTCGCTGAAGTCACTCTGCGAGTACTCGAAGATGTTGCAGTACCTGTCTTCGCTTCCAAGGCGTCCAAAGCTGAAGACAATCCGGAGCCCGAGTCCACGGGGACGTGAAGAGAGAAGAGACACAGAATTGGATGACCGCCAGAGCTGATGCAACAGCCCTGATGCTAGTTTGAACCGCTCCTCTCAAGCTTCCTGTAACAAGAAGAGGAAGCCCCTGAAGATGCGAGAAGCCAACAGCGCGGCCCGGGCCTTCCCAAGGCCCAGCCGAAGAGCCGGGCTTCCGCGTCACGGCCAGCATCGGCCAGAAGGAAGGCACCACGGCGGTTGCTGTGGGCATGGAGGTCAAGGTACAGCCGCAGGCCCCCCTGGAGTTTGGGAATGACGTCTCGGTTATCTTCTTTGCAGGTTTTAGCCAAAGCTTTGCCGACCTGGTGCTCATGCGCGCAGAGGCAGGCTTTCTCTGCTGCGACGATCGAGGGGTGATGCTCGAGACTTGCCTGGCACGCTTCTGCCGCTCCCACAAACGAAGACACGAGTACACCTCGTCTTCGTCATGCGCGGGAAACTTTCCGCAACTTGATCAAGGATTCGGCTACATGGAACGCCGAGAAGAGGCCTTGCCATAGACCCGATTGAGGTTCTCTGCACGCATGTCCAGGCGGTGGTGGCCGAAGGCCACACCTCGGCAAAGTAGCTCAAGACTTCGACGCTGGAGCAGGGTTTTTTCACACTTGTCCGAAACGTCTCTGCAGCATGGTCCAAAGGCATGCACCCAAAGAGCTACGCTTCCTGCAAGATACGAGCCTGTGACGACTACACTGGCGGGCGCGGCATGGAACATGCAAGAATCGAATGGAGCGTGCAACGAACGACATGAAACGATAATCGCTAACTCCAAAGCCCCAAACCAAAGCCAAGACTGCGCCTCGCTAGTCTTTGTACATGTGACAAGGCTTCCATCAAAACTCGGATTGAGCATGAACGATCAACCACCGAAAGCTACCAAAATAATCTTGAAACAATAGGATCAAGCATCAAACTCATGAAGGCTACGGTCAAGTCCATTGAAAGTGTTGCAAGTGTGACACAAGCGAGAGCCCTCGAAGTTCTGTCTCTAATCCCAGGCACCGTCGGGGTTCAGCACGGGTACCACGTGCACCACATATTGCCGGAGCAACTCCATGGCCTCTGAGCCGCCAGAGGCCAGGAAGTCCAAGAGGCCTTCAGTCAGTGCCACAATCGAACGAATTAGCTCCTTTCGCGCCGCTCGTGGAGTCAGCACACACTACAAAATGCCGGAAGGCCTTGGTATTTGCAAACCTGATATCTACAGCTTCCGGCTGACATCTGCAGCCAGACCCCGAGCGGTCAGTCCCTACGTCAATCAAAGGGATTCATGCAGCCAACCTTTTGCAAGTCACATGGATTTCGCGTCACCCTGGTCGACACCGATGCAAACCGCAGAGCCAAACGAGTGGCTCTGGGAAATGTTCTGCTAGCATTGACAAAAACGACTACGTGGCAGCGGCTGTACGTCTGGGGAGCTGTGGGCTCGCCAACCTCAGGTTTGCGCACCCATCTTTCGCGCAGTGCGTGGGGAGGCGGATTCGTGCACGCAGGATTCGTTCATCGCAGATTCGCTGACTGAAAGTGCCGGCGTACAGTGGCCCTGCATCCTGAACCCGTTCACCTAAACCCTAAACTCAACGACCCTGATTAAGCCGAAAACCCCCAAGACTCGGCTCTCCTTTATTGATACCCTGCAACCCTAGCCTAAACCTGAAGCTGCACACCGGAAACCCTATAAGCCTAAACCCTAAGCCTTAGCCGAACCCCAAAACCCTAAAGCCTCAAACCAACCGCAGAAAGCTAGAGACTCTTCTCTCCCCAAACCCGCAGTCCCCAAACCAATAACATCCAATAACCCTGAGCTGAAGGTGTCAAAGCAAAAAGCCCTACACCGTACCCCAAAATCCTGAATTCTCGGCTCTCTCCACAGCTCGACACTCTAACCCCGAAGTACTCCTAAACCCTAAAAGCCTGAAACCGAAACACCCGAACCCTGCACATCCCTAAGCCCCAGTCCTGAACGCGAGACCTTCAACGCCAAAGCCCACAACGCTGAAACCTAAACCCGCCCCACCTTTAGAGCCCCACAGAACCCAAAACCTTATGACTTCTTAACCCTAAAACCCTGAACCCATAAGCCCGGAGACGCAAAAATCTGAGCCCTCAAACCCTAAACCCGAAACCCTCGAACCTTAAATCGCCGAAGCCCCGGCCCCTAAACTCCAACGAAAGGCAAACCCATCAATCCTGAAGACCCGGAGACCCCGCTGAATCATGTATTCATTGAATCGCCGGTGCCGCCAGTGCTTTAATCGGCTGTTGCGCTCGAATCGTGCTCGAATCGCGCGTGCTTGGCTGCCCCACACGGCATCCCGGCCCCCGGACTTCCCCTTTCAGACCCGCCCTGGCAGCACACCCGAGCCTGAAGCAAGCCAGGTACCAACTCAGACGTAACTCCGAGCCTTCCAACATGAAGCTCGCCGGCGTCTCTCCAGGGTGCACTCTTGCGCTGACGAAGATGGCACGGCGCTCTGGAAAGATCCAGGGCCGCTGGGCTTCCTTTCTCACAGCACTTCGGGAAGGCACTGAAGCCAGCGCTTATCTTCGGAGTTCAAAGAGGTGTGACTTGGGTGCAGACTTGGCTGGCGAAGATATCAACATGTACACGAAACTAAATTCTCCAACCCACCGCACGTTGGCACGACCACCGCAAGGTGCAACATCACACACCAGTGGCCTTGTAGGCACATGAGTCTGAGAAAGGGCCATCATCTTTTACGCAAGACATTGCGGCACATCTCTGAAGTACTTTGTGCCCGTTTGCCTCCTGTGTCAAGTCCGGCAAAGGCGGCTGGCGTTTTGCAGAGCGCTGCGAACGACGTGTCACGGTGACCAGCTCAATGGGATGACCTGCGAGCGCGATTGCCTGCTTCAGCTTGCAGCAAACCTCCCCGCTTGCACCGTACCTTCTGGGCCCCTCCCGGCCTCCCAACGACGTGGTCAGCTGCTCGCGGTTAACATATGCCCCGCCATGCACAAGGGACTTCAGTGCACCGTCAAGGTGCGAGTAGATCCGGCCTCCGGAAGGCTCACGCAAAGCGAAGATGCAACGTAAACCGAACTTCGACGAAGACTGGTCTGAGCCGCTGGCCGAGCGGGTAGGGGAAGGTGAGAGCGAAATACAGCTCCTCATCCGCTGCCAGGGGCTTTGACATCGTGTGCTCCTCAAAGGCAGGGGCCCGAACGCTGGATGGTTCAGGCCCTGGCGCTTCAAAACTCACTCAGAGAATGTGCTGATCTGCAGCTGTCATAGGTACGAGTAGCTTCCAACCCGAACTCAAAAAAAAAGCAGCCGACGTCCCTGGCTGGCCTGCGGATGAAAACATGCAAGTTGAGATCAAGAACCATGATCCACAATTCATCTAGAATCATCTAGCAGTAAAAAGTTGCAGATGGTGGGAATGACCAACTCGGCCAAGTGACCCCGACAAGCAACGAGAACACAGGCATCGTGTTAAAGCAAACAGTGGCAGAGGTGCACCCAGGTGGCACGGTTCCTGACAACCAACACTGTAGGCACCTGCTTGCCGCTGCGAAGGGTTGCAACAAGCTGGTCAGGAGCCCTGTTTGCCGCCATGCCGAGAAGATGGCAGGGAAGCTTCGGGGGTGTGCATGTGCGCAAAGGAGCGCATTGCCGTCCACCTGTCAGCCAAGACTCGAAGGTGAAGGCCAGCATGCCGTCCTTGGCTGCATCGTATTCGGGGCTTTGGATGCCTCGAGGCCCAAAGTCGAGGCTAAGCAGTGCCGCAGCATGCTTTGCAGCAAAGACTCTGGCAGCCGCAGCATCCCGATTTCGCCCCTCGCCAGCTGCCAGCCAACATCAGCACTGGATCGAAACACGGGCTGGAGCCCGTCGGTCAGCAACTGCCTCAGTAGCCAGGACAAGGATGCCTGGAAGTCCCAGGCAGGCAAGAATGGAAACCTCGCCTTCAGATGGATTTGCATGGTTCAAGGGCTGCTTGCTTCCCAGCCGCCCGCTTACCATGCGCGTCGTCTCCAGCCGCCTGTAGCGGCTGAGGCCCAGAACGCGAAAGGAGAGCCGCTCCTGGCCAAGGCCAAGGCCACGCTTCGAAGCCGAAGCCCCTCATTCCCTTTGCCCCGCTGGCCCTCTCCTACTCTCTTTTTGCAGTTCTCTCGCTTCCAAAACGCCGAGGCTCGCCAGGGCCCAGCTCGCGGCCCCGTAGGCCGAAGTGGAACCATTGGCACTCCTCAACGCCGGGGCCACTTTGTCTCAAATCGAGTTATACGGCACTCTCAGTGCTGTGCCTTTGCCTCACTGGCAAAGGGCGTGCCGGCGCAGTCTGCGCGAGCCTTTGGACTCCAGGCTCTCGCGCTCTACTTGTACCAGAACCAATTGGTCTACAACGGCGGAGTGTTGGGTGGGCGAGCCCTGCAACTCACCGCTCAACGCCGAGAGCGCAATCCCTAAACCAGAAACGGACTGTTAGGTGAACAACCCTGATCGACGAGACGTGCTCGACGTGCAACCTCCGCGATGACGGAGTGTGAGGTCGGCAAACCCGAATTCCAACGGAGCGTTGAGAGGGCAAGCCGGAAACCTGCAAAAAGCTATCCCTATTGACAAGACATGCTCGACGCGCAACACCGAAACCCTGAGGGGAGTTGTCGATGAGCACGATGACGAAGTGCGCGGTGGGTAAGCCCGAACTCCAAGAGGGCTGAAAGGGCAAGCCCTGAAGTGAAAAGGGCTGTTGGGTGCACAACCCGATTGACAAGAGGACTTCGACGTCGTGGAGAGGTGGATGAGCAAGACGACGCAAGCTGCGTAAGCAAACCGAGGATCTCAAACGCTCAAGCTGAAAAAATGCTTCTGCCTTACAAACTCGGCCGACAAGATGGTCTCTTGCGCTGTCACCCCTTATTTTTCGATGCATGCCGTGGCACTGTTCGACTCACGCCTTTGTGTTACTGACTGTGTGCGGCGGGATACCTGACTCCCTTCTTTGACTCGCAGCACGATTCCCTGACTCGCACCACACTCTTGATGCTGCCACCGTATAATAACCTCAACAGGACTCGAGATAAGTCTCTGGCCACAAATGCCCCCGTTCAAACTGGTTCTTCCACTGTTCGGACCTCCGACCAAGAAGCCGTGACCTCGAAGCAAAGGCTCGAAGCAGCCGACGGCATCGGAGCACTGGGATAGCCTTTTCAGGAGCCACCCCGAGTTCTTGCGCTCTGTTGTTGCATTCCAAAGAGGGAGGACAAAGGCCTCCGCCTCCGCCTCTGCCTCCTCCGTCGGTGCCGGCGCTGGGTTCGCTGGCCTGCTGCGGCCTCGGAACTCTTCCAGTTCCCAGCGCGGGTGGGGCCCCCATTGGCATGGACCGCAAGCAGAATAGACTCATGGCGATCTATGAGATCTCAGATATCCTTGTTAAACGCTGATCCCAGGCAGGTCAGGTCGAGCTGGGGCACGGTGATGTTGGCGACATCGTCTCGTCGCCGGAGCCTATCACAAGCAGAACGAAGATTCGGAGCAAGGGCTACCTTCAGACTGGATATGTAACTGCATGGGAGCTGGGTCGAGGGAGGCAGTTGCTAAAGTCAACAGTTTGCTAGCAGTCCTTGGGCATCGCAGCTCTTCTGGACGTCGTGCGACACAAACCCTTGGCAATTGGGGGCGGCTGGCGGTGCACTCATCGCTTTGCTTGTGAACAAGGATGCACGAAGCACCTACAGCAGTTCTCGAAGCCAGAAAGATTGCATGCAATCCAATGGACATTTGCGCTTGCCTCTTACTTGCTTCCCTCCTTCCTTCCTTCCTTCCTTCCTTCCTTGCTTGCTTGCTTCCTTCCTTCCTTCCTTCCTTGCTTGCTTGCTTGCTTGCTTGCTTGCTTGCTTGCTTGATGGTTGCTTACTTACATACTTATTTACTCGCTCACACACACACACACACACACACACGTCGATGCAAAAACAAATTCTGAGCCCTCTGCAACCCCTAGGCCTTGGCTTCAACTTCGAAGCGAAAAAGCCACACACGCTCAACTCCGAACGCTGAGACTCTCGGCCTAGGCCCCCCTGCGCAGTAGCTCCACTTCAGTGCCCTCGGCTTCTGCGGTGGCAGGACCCAGCTGAGCCCAGCCGTCCTGTAGTCATTTCTACAAAACAGCCAGCGTCTGCAGCCAGTCGAAAAACTACGCAGTGACGGGTGGACTGTGATTCTACTTCTTGACATGGGAACAAGTTATCCCAAGTGGAAGCAGGAATTTGCGGCCTCATCTGCCAACTTCTGCCACCCGCTCAGGGTCACCCTGCGGCTGGCATACCTTGCAAACTCCATGCTATGGACTCAAGCCTTCTTCACATCGCCGATGCGACACCATGGCCAGTCTGCATGCAAACCCCCCCCTCCCACGAAGACGATTGAATGCAGGGCGAGGTGCAGGCGAGCTCCGGCAGACTTCTTGGTGACCAGCTTGGCCTTGGGGTGGGGCTCCCTCCGCACGGCACAGCTTTGGGTCATCTTGTACAGCAGCTTGCCTTGTCTGCAGTCAGACACTCACACAGATGCAAATCTCTGCCACTGCCACACGCACATCACATGACGCTGTTGTTCTACAGCATAAGGAGTGCGGCATGCCAGGCCAAGTCTCCTCTTTGAGGCTCCGCCGCAGCCCAAAGCACGTCTGCAGCTCGAAGGTCCTTTGCCGAACTTAGTGCCACGTGGTATCCACTGACACTTGTCTTTATAGGTTTGGCCTGAAGCGTGATGCACTCGGGGAGTGGCTTTCATTTGCAACTCACCGTCACACAGACGCCAACTCATCGGTAGGCCCCATGCGGCAGCATGTTCAAAGGCTAAGAAGCGCATGCAGACAGAATTACAAGCTCAGCGGCGCGAGTGACAAAAGGAAGGTCTACCAGAGGCTCTCAAGAAAAGACTCAATCTTCCTGTGCCTTAATGGCTTCATATCTCTCAGCCACGATCGACGATGCTGCCGTTTGCGGCATATCAGTCTCATCACTACGTACTCTCTTTCGCGATGCTGCCGCTCGCCACGAGCCACGAGCCAGGCATCAGGTGGTCGGCGGATTCGAGGTCCGCCGCCGTGGACAGGGGACAATCGCAAAGCAACGCGACGATGGAGCAATCCAAAGGCGAACTCGCACATGTGAACAGATGAGAAATGCCGCTTAGAATCTGATCGCTCAGCAAGTCAGCGGACAGGGAGTGAGGTGAGCATGACCAATGCAACCATCTACAACTCCAGGCCAACTTAGCTCAATGCATTTGACGGTATCGCTTGAGGTCGACCCAAAACGTGGTGCGGTCCGGTGGTTGATTCAGCGCAATGGGGTTGCCAGCTGCATCAGCATTCGTCAGCAATCAACTTCGAGCCGACGGGCATAATCGAGGGGAAACACCACAAACACCATCACCAGAGGTAAAAGAACAAGTGAGCGCAGCATATACCCGCCTTCCGCCCCAAGTGTATTTCTTTCATGCGAGCACAATCGAGGACAAGTGCGAAGCGCAAAGGCATCCAATGCACAGTGCGCATGAGGGAGCTCACAATTCCGCAAGACAACATACCTCAGCCACCGCCTCAGACGTGCGCGGGACTCACCTGTTTCGTAGTCGGCCAAACATACAGCACAGCATGTTGGCGTCCTTGCGCTGACCCATCAGCGAAGAGAACTCTCAAACGACGGGGATGCACATCATCACAACAGTGCCATGTGCACGATCACACATGGAAAATAACAGAAAAGGCGAGAGAGGAGAGAAAAACGAGAGAGACCAAAGGCCACCTTTTAAGACGAAGAGCACCCAAACACAAAACAAAGGCACCCCCAACCACTCGGGCCGAGCCCACGAACGAAGGGGGAACACGGGCACAGGAGAAGGCCCGAAATAACGATGAGAGCCACGCCGAAGGAGTGAGAAGGGGGTCTGCATACCACATCACACGACCAGCCCCATCCCGAATGAACGTAGACGACGCAGAGAGGGACCACCAAACATAAGAACACGCAAACACCGCGAAACAAAACATTAGAGCTTCAACGACCTCCGGAGCTACAGCGTCAGGAGAAACAGCGATCAGTGCATACATATATATATATATATATGCATTTAAAAACCGCAAACCCCTAATGCCCAAACTCTCGTGTTCGTGGGACCAAGGCATGACAGCCGCACAGATGATCAGGTTGTGAAGCAGACTTGCGAAGCTCTAGTCCCGGTTCTCTGACTCGACTCGACATGCCCCGGCATGGTACTGAGAACCATGTGAACGCTAACACCTTCCGTCCAACACATACGGAGGGAGACAAGATCTGAGAGTCGAAGCCTTGCTTGGTTTCAGCCTGTCCTTCTTGGCCAGGTGGTCCTGGCTTTCACAGGGCCGCGCCAGGGCAGCTCCGCAAAGGTTGCCAGAGTCGAAAGCCGCAAAGAACCTTACACTTGAGCCGAATGCAGGAAAATGAAAGGAATTTCCAGGACGGTCCCCTGGATGCTCCTGGCAAGTACGACGGAAAAGCCATGAACCTAACAGCCTAAAGCCCAAAACCTTGAAGCCCAACCCCTAAAGCCCTAAAGCCTTAAACCCAAAAGCCTAAAACCCAAACCATCAAAAGCCCTATCCCCCAAAGCAAAGCCCTAAAGCCTCAAACTCTGAATGGGGCCTGTCTCAAACCAAACCATCTTAAGCCCTGCTGCCATACATGGATGGACAGAAGGGCTCTGATAGCATCGAATGAGTTCTGAGCACTCACTCTGGATCACTTTTCTGCAGCACCGTTTCACATGTTTTATAATTGATCGTGCGAAGAAAAATAATTTTTCTGTATAAAGAATTAATTCAATATCATCGTAACCTTTCTCAAAAGGAACACACTCGAAAACCATCCACACTAAACCCGCTGAAAATGTTGTTTCTGATCAGATTGGAGTTCAACGCATAGACAGCACCGTCTTTTTGGCGTTTTTTCATCATCCTGGCTTCGCCGAATCTCCGCTTGGCTCCGCCATCCCCCATGGAGGCTCCCCCCACTCCAGCCGATAGCCAACTCAGCAAGGCTCCCGGAGTATCTCTCGACTTGCCAAAGTGGTTTGCAAGCTTGCCCAGTGCTTGCCGATTTTGTTTTTGAAGCTTCCCCAAATGGGTTTCAGTGCTCAATTGCCTCCCCAGCTGCTTGTCAAGTTTTCAGGCTTCGCCGAGTGCTTACATGCGTTGCCCGTGGGTTGACCTTTGCGAAGCTTCCGGAGCCCGGATGGCTTGTGTAGCAGGATGGGCTTGATGTCCAAAAGCTGCAGCTGCGGCTATCCCGGCGAAGAAGGCTCTACTTGCAGCTCAGCTTCTCGAAGCCACCGGCATACCAGGGGCCATCAGCGATGCCCTTGCAAGGCAGACAGGCACTCTCACACCGGAGGAACTACAACCTTTGCTGTGCTCAATTCAAGAGCAAGCAGCCTCTGGCTTCGGGTGGGCAACCGCAGGACTCGGCACCGACTCCTCAAAGAGCTCCTCCCGAAAGAGCAGCGGCAGCAATGTGCTTACGCTGCCCTTCCTGGGAGCCCAAGCCCATGGCTCTCCTCCTCGACGTCCTCCTCGTCGTCCAAAACCAAGTCCGGCTCTTCTTCCTCGATCTCCTCCACGGCAGGTTTTGGGGGGCAATTCACCGCACCCCAAAAGGGCCGGGCAGGCCTGGTCCTGGTCAGGTATGTCCTCAACTTTCTCGGTCGCTTCCTCGTCCGTCCTGCACGAGTCACCACTCCGACGACGAGCTGGAGACGCGCCGTCGACACAGGGTTCTGGCAGCGCACGGTCACGAATTGCACCCCGGACCCTGACATGACTGTTGTGCATAGCCTACAGTACTGCTCAAACATGATGGACTTGGTCCTGTGAACTCTTCAGACGACCGACTTCTCCCCAAATCCGCCCGTCCTGGGCTCCGTGCACTGCGGCTCATCAGCCTCGGGTCCCGCACACTCCTGGCCAGCGCGGCCTGTACTAGTGACCCTCTCACCGGTGGCACAACTGTACAGTGCACCTGCAGCATCTTGGAATGGCCCCACTCGTCTACACTGACTGACAAGCACACACTGGGCAACCCAAAGTCCTGCATCGTTCAGTTGTGACACCCTCTGCGGCAAACCTAGCTTCCTACATCCTCTAAGCGAGCTTGCACCAACTCCTTCCCAGAGAGATCCTCCAACTCATGGGAGACAAGAGGAGGAAGGTCCCCGTCCTCCACCTCCTGCAGACGTTGCATGCGATGCATGCCTTGCTGTGATGGGGCTCTCGAGTATGGAAGCTGCGCTGGTTTACTGCTTGGTGGGCGCCTCCGGCAAGGACTCGGTGCCATCGGTGCTGTTCTGCGCAGTGCCGACGGCTGGCTGCTGCTCGCAGCCCTTGCATGGAACATGTCTGCAGAACCACAGGTGCCATTCCGAACTTGGCACTGGAGACCTGCACATTGATGCCGTTCTCTGTGGCAGACCGCAGCAGGTCCTCGGCGGACGACACAAGCGGCAAGAATGATCCTATGTGTCTGATGGCCAAAGATACACCTTGTGACGAGCCGGTAGCTGCAACTTGGATACTCTCCAGCGGACCATCTGTGGGCGCTCCGAAGAGGCCCATGCCACGCAGCGATGGCGTCCATAGGCCGAGAGGTGCTTTAAGGAGTCGGTGAGACTGATGGCTTCGAGGGGTGTGACTAGCTGCGAAGCTTGGAGAGTGAAGCTGGAGGAGCCCCGGGCCCACAGTGCGAGCACTCAGTCAAAGGTCTACATTGTGAAGGGTGCTTGCCTTTCTATCTGACATGCTATTGAGAGCCAAGCAGCAACCCCGATACATCTCTCACAGCTCGGCAGATCCGCTTGAAGATGAAACCCTTTGGCGTCGTCGAGTGTTGCAACCAGCCAGGATGGCCACCAGGCATGCTGTGCTCTGTGCAGCATGCTTAAGCAATTTTGGCAATTCGGTCTCCAACTGTTATCCCTGGAGCACCAAGAACCCAACGCCACTCCTTCAATCCAGGGCACACGATTTTATCTCTCGGCCCGCACAGCGCTACAGTACAATTTTCGGCACGTAGCAGAGGCCGGGATCTGCGGGGGTACCGCACTCGCAACCTGTGAGAGTGAGTGAGCGAAGATTGATCAAGCACAGAACAGGGAGGCAGTGCGACCAAAGGAGAGAGCGCGGGCAAGCGAGCGAGAGAGAGAGGAACACAGGGACTGAAACTGAATCAGTGCAGGCGAACAAAGATACAAAGAGACTGTGATGGTCTGAAAGACTCGGTCGACAGCAAGGATGGAACAGGGAAAGCACAGGGACAGAGTCATGGAGCAATGCAGAGCTACAGTACAAGACAACGAGACGTGCAGACAAGCATCTACCTTGAGACAAAAGCGAGACGGCGAGACGGACGCAGCCCTAAGATCAAGTCAACCAAGCAGCCGCAGGGGCAAGCTTCCTGGCGGGCGATCCGCACGATGTGTCGGTGCTAGCCAATTTACTAACCAGCAAATCACAGAACCAGAATGCCTCCCTGTGCATGTGCGCCTTGTCGCACCGATGCCCGCTGCAGACGTCCCCAGCACTCAGCCAGGCCTGGAGCGTGTCTTGACTTCCGAAGTGAGCTGTTCCGAAAATTTCCGAAGAGTTCCGCCGAGCGAAGCTGCAGGCTGCGGACCTCGACGTCTTCTTGGCCGCTGCGGCGATGATAGACCCGTTGTGGGCTCAGGCCTGCAATTTAACACCGCCAGCCGGAAACATGCAGAAGAACACCCTATGTACTGGCTTCTCACCGAGCAGTCCCGGACCAAATACCAGGAGTTGAAATGGCACGGGGCTAGGAAATACGCCAAAAAGCCATGTTTGTCCGACGGCACACCACACCCATCTGTCAGCATTTGTTTTGTGCCTGTTTCCCAGTTCGTCGACTCAAAGACGTCGGCCAGCTGAGTAGCATTTTCCCCCAAACCTTGTCGGAAGCACATGCTTCTCTTTCCAACACTACACGTGCAAAGGAAGACCGCCGAGAGACATGTGAGTGCCGGATGCTGAGGCTGTCACAGTCAGGTGCCACTGTTCCATCAGCACCGATGATCGCCCCAAAGCTAGCAGGGCACTCTATTACATGCACAGGTTTGCAGTCTGAGTTCGCAGGTGCAATGACTTCAAAGAGCCAGAACTCAACCCATGGACATCTTCAGGACGCGCGACAAGCCCCAGGCCAAGCCTAGCGTGCGTCAGGGCGACCCAGCACAGCACAACGGCCCGCAGCCCCATTGCAGAGCGCGCCATGATGTGCCTCCACCTAGTAATGTATCCAAACCGAAAGCTTGGAGAAACCGAAGTAGATTCTTCAAACCAGACATGTCGGGCAGAGATTGCTGCAAATTAGCCAGATGTGTCGGACAAGCCGTTGAAGAAACCGTTGCCGTGGGCACAACACGGGAAACTGCGAAGAATCTCAAAACCCATCGGGCACGCGGCCTTCTGTCACTCAGTTCAGAAGTCTGTTGCCTGCCGGCCCCCTATGTGCCGGTCTTGCTGGCCAATCGTCGGCAGCTCTCTTGGCAAAGGCATTCGCAGTGCCAGCTGCTCAAGAGCTGTCACGCCAGCCGCTGAATTCAATCTCAGCCACTTCCGCACAAAAAACGAGGACACCTGTATATATGTTTCCTCAATAATATCGCAAACACTCATGGAGAAGGGCCTGAGGTCTGAGATCTTCGGCCAAGCTGGCATGGTGGTGCAATTGTCCGTCCTTCTTTGTTGAAAGGTTGCTCTCCCTGCTCCATCTCACCTCGGCTCAAGACTCGAGGTTTGAAGCTGTGAGGTGTTTGCAACTGCTCTGCAAGTAGCCAAAGTGATGAATCGCAGGAGCATGCACTGAGGTAGCTGGCTTCCTAGACCTTGAAAACACTCTTTGCAAGTATTCGGAATGCGTTCTTTCGTGTCAAGAACGACACGTGGATGAAGCCACTGCGAGTTCAACTTGCAGCTCTGAGAAGCCAAGGTCGAGACTTCTTCTTTCCCATTGACTGACATCAATTCGGAGCTGCAACTCACCAACAAGCACTAAGCAGGAAGAAGAATCCAACTCGCAGACCTGCGGTCAGTTGAGCAGAGCCTCCAAACCTAGAAAAAAGGTGCCTCTCAGGCTCCTGAAACCTTCAAGAAGATCCCGGCAGGGCCTTAGCAGCTGCAGCCATGGCCTTCTTCTCTTCGGCCTGCGGGCGCCAAACTTATCTGCCTGCAGAATGGCCTCAATGCTGCGTTAAAAGCACCGGCCACTAGCAGCCGTAGCACGGGCCCGGCACCCGAAACCCTGGGCCGAAAACTGATGCCTACATTCCGCCCTGCAGCACCTGCTTCTTCTTGAACTCCATGTCCTCCGCGTTCGGAAAGAAGACACTGCTAGTGGCAAAGATGGACGATGACAGATGGCAGGCCCTAGCATTTGCTTCAGCAATGCTCGAGCTGTGTGATGTTGCTCTCTGGTCCTCGTCCGTTTGCTCCTGCACCAATCGGGAACAGCACAGCCGATTCTGGGCTGCCAATGACACCTGGAATGCACCCTAGAGGTCCTTCTTCTGACCGCCGGCCTTCTTGCGGATCACATCGTTCTGGGCCTACGAGACATGCAGCAATCGCATGAAAACCGTCAGAAACTTAGGCTGCTTGTTCAATGAGGCTCAATGGCAGAATTTCCGCTGTGGATCTACACGTTGTTGCAGGGTCATTGAAGGGCTCGCACTGGGCCTTGTTCGAAGTGCCGACAGGCATGGCTGTGAATGAGACACGCGAAAATGAGCAGGGCCTAGAGCCGCTTGGAGCCGTCGAAGCTGCGGAAAGAGCTGACTTTAAGCTTGTCACCGGTGGCATGCCAATGAATGCTAGATGCTCCCAAGATAGTCACAGGAAGCCGAATTTGTAGTCTTTCCTCTTACTCTAGCCACTCTAGCCATCTATGTTTGCGACAAAGCTCCGGAATGCCTGGCATCATCGACTCAATCCTTTGAAGTGGCGGCGCAAGACTTGAGCCGCATAGAGCCAGACTTTTCAGCGGCTTCTGCATCAGCCTAACTCCACCCTCACAGGGCACCCTCGATAGCGTGGATCCGCTGAGTGACGGAGCCAACCTTCAGGATGAAATAAAGAAGAAAACCGTCAGAAAACAGAGTTCAACTTCTTTCCAAACATGCTGCTCCCAAACATGACTAATTGGCTCCCTCTGTCTGATGCCGCCGGCAGCACCTGATTTTGGATGGCGTCCAGCGCACTTGCATGGGCATCAAGCACCTTGAATGCTAGCACCCTCGCAACAAGAGCGTGACAACTTGATGCCATCAGAGGCTTGTCAATAGTGCGGATCTGTGTGGCACAGCATGTCTGTCAGTGACATCTGTCCTAAAGCTGCGTTAAAACGCGTGACTTCTGGCCGACGACCTTCGAATGGGTGCCCGGCCCGCACGACGGTTGTGAGCGGCTCCTGGCAGAAACATCACCGCCCGTACAAAAACGGCGACTCCCAACCCGCAACAGTCCTTGTACAGGTTGGACTGCACCTTTCCAGTCCTTGCGAATCTATTGCGCAACAGAGGCAGGACTTCATCCCACATGCTCTGGAGGCTGAGGCACGCACTCCCGGGCCAAGTCTTCTGCCTGCAGGCAAACGAATCTCCAGCTTTGCATCGCTACCGCTACAGATTGAATATCGACACCCGCCGAGTGGAACGTCGCTTGCTCCACTGCAATGGCTCGGTCTCAAAGGTATAAACGTAGGGTTTCGCGCTGGTTCCCGCAGTTTGAAGGGCATCTGGTGCTTTTTGCATCTTTCTTGTGGATTTCAACCACAAATCCCTGCACACTCTTGCCATGCTCTATTCCTCCTCACCGACTCCCGCACCGCCTCAACTTAAGTAGTATCAACTTTCGCAAATTTGCGGCGGGGCTACCGTGAGTCTGCTGACTGACACCTTTGCGAAAGTAGATGCGAGCCTGTTGCCGTTTGGGCCCTTTTGCCCTGCTCGGCCTGGCGCTCCAACTCGTCCAGCTGCATGGTCAATCCAAGAGAGCGCTGGTGGGCACGCACCTCACAACGCGAGACCGGGGCTCCGGTACCCCTAAAGCCTAAACCCCTAAACCCTAAACCCCTGAACCCTAAACCCCTAAACCCTAAACCCCGAAACTAAACCCCTAAACCCTAAACCCCGAACCCCTAAACCCTAAACCCTAAACCCCCAAACCCTAAACCCCCAAACCCTAATCCCCAAAACCGTCTTTCAACGGCCGAGCACAGGACCGGAGCGGCTGCACTGCCCGCTGCCTCGCGACAAGCGCATGAACCCAAAGAGTCGATCCGGTGAAGCCCCATTTCTTAAATCGAATCTCTTGAAGACTTCGCACCCAACAGGGCTTCCAACACAACCTAAACAACAAGCCTCAAGTCTCCGATAGAAAAGGAGACACTAGGGCAGATGGGGCAGGCTCGGCACCGTGCCCTAGATGCCAGGTGCGTAACTGTCTCCACCATAATTGGAGTAGAGTTTTGGGGTATGTTGTAATGTAGGAACTCTAGAGGGGCGATACGGGGACTCTCTAATCAGAAATTATTCGATTCTGTGATTCTGTGTCCTCAGTCTTCCGGGCCTCGTCTGCCTGCTGCGGCTGAGTTCGGAGAGCCTGCGTTCTCACAGGTGCTGGTAGCACGCATGTCCCTTCAGCCCAGTGCAGTTACATCGGCCGACGACCCTCGCTCTGCACGCCATGCCTCGGTCAAACTCGCAAGGAGGCGGCCCAATGAGTCCTGCATTGGATCCCATCCTTTGTAAAGTTGCTTTCATTAACAGCGACGTGTTTTGACAACTTCCGACCACTTGAGATTCAGATAAGGATGAGAGTTCCCGTTTCAAGAAGCTTCTGGCATCAATGCCGGATGTCCGGTGTCCTGCTGCTCCCAAATCTGCTGAATGGACCTGCACGTTCGAATGAAACTGCACAGCACAGCCTGAAAGCAGGCAGCGCGGCAGCTCCATGGCCGGGACCCCGACCGATCCGCTAGCTCTTGTCTGGCTTTCAGCTGCGCGTGCTCTTCACGCAGGACCTACCATGGGGCAATGGGACTACGAGATGGCCGGTACCTTGCAATGGCAGCCAGGGGCTACTTTGGGCAAATGCTGGTCAGAAGGTGGGGAGAAGCATCCGAAGCAAAGATCAACAAAAATGTGGTTCGGCCTTGACCTTGGCTGCGTTCGCAATGACGTCGGTGTCGAATCTTAAGATTTGCTCTGCAAAGGCCTTGGCTTGGAGCTGCCAATTTGCACAGCAGAATTGTAAGACGAGGATAATCTGCATCTTCAGCCCTTGCTCCTTGATCAATGTTGAAAAATGGGTCGGGTCTACTTGCCGGAATCGGATTCTCGCAAGTGACCCGTCTCCGCCGCAAACTCTGAGCGATTGGCATCGAAATGTTGAGCCTGGCAAAGCAGCACGTGCTCGAACTATACTTGACCAAAGCTAAACACATTGCAAGAATTGCAAAGGTTGCCTGCTTCTGAATCCGCTCTTCCCACATCCGCAGGAGGTCGCTGACTTTTCGATGCCTTCACGGATCTGCCCAAGGCATGTAGTGTGCAAGCTCAGCCATGCCGCTGGACACGAATCACAAGAGGATAGAAGCCACGCGATCTTGAGCATTGCTGAGGCCAGGTTTCCCGGCTCGATCACGGTCGCCCTGGCTTGCTGGAGCTCACCTGGCAAGACCCCCTCAGGTTCCAAACAAGAGCGGCCATCTGAGATTCAGATTCCTTGTCTGGACCTCGCGCCCTTCACTGCACGGGGTCACACTTCATGGCCTCCTGCACCTGCTGCCGCTCCCGCGGCGCCGAAGCCAAGGCCGCCAGCGGTCCTGCAGCGGAGCGTTCCAGTCTCCGGCTCCCGCCGATGGTGGCTTCGACTTCGAGATGACTCATGCTGTGCTGCTCTGCCCGACTGTGCCCCGCACCCCCCACTGGAAAACCCGGTCGCTCCGCCTGAGACACGCAGCACAATGCGAGCTTGGTCGCCAAGGCAGACAGCAAAATGACGGCAACTTCCAATGATTTTCACGCATGCCAGGTCCACCGGAAGCAGCCGAGCCAAACAGGCCAGCACCTTCGTTGAGAATTCAGAGCACCCTGAACCCAAAAGACTTGACTCTTCGCAGATCGATGGCTCGGCGGCGCACTGCCACTGCCGCCTCCGAATGTCGAAGCGCCACCTGAACAGCACTGAAGCTGACAAGTGATTGGGTCAATGCCAATGCTGATGTTAACTTTTCTCCTGCATCATGCAGGGCCCAGGTCGTAATGATGTCGAGAAACCTCCGGCCCCATGTTCGCGTCACGCGATGTGGCCACTTGCATAGAAACTCGTACAATCGATCGCGGCAGTAGTACGCCCCTTCCGGAATATCTCAAATGCTATTTGCAGGATGTTGCAGGCCAGGCTTCAAGGAGGTCTCTGCAGACGGTAGCTTCGTTAAAATCTGAACGCTGAGTGCGTCACCGCTACTGCCGGCGCCGAAGAGGGATGCTCCTCCTGCTGCTCCTCCTAGTGCTGAAGGCATCGGGCGTGACTCAGGTTTTGCTGCTCATGTGACTCAAACATCTTCCAGCTTTCAGCAACACGCCTGACGCTGGGCCGCTGCCGAACAAGCTGCCGCCGGAGGACCTCGATCTGCTACCCGGCAAACTGGTTCCCTGGATTTTGCCTAGTGAATCTGTCTGGTGGAGCTGCAGCGCATGCTGATCGCAGGAATGTGGAAAGGTGGAAAGGCACCCGCTGCAGGACAATCAATCTGAGGAATCTGCCCACTGCTTGCAGCTCCACCTGGTGCCCATCAAAGGATTTGTTTCCGACGAAAGCTTGGTAGACACAGGCATCAGAGCAATATCAGAGCACATGCCAGATCCGCCAGTTGCGGCGGCGCCAAAGATGCTTGCACCTTAATCGCAAATGCAACTTACATACCCGGCTGCAAGAAGGTCTCTGCAGTCTGAACGTTGAGTGCGTCACCGCTACTGCCGGCG